AGAGGAACAAAAGCAAGAGAGGAAAAAAAGAACAATAATCAGTGTTGACAAGCCAAGAAGGCTGGTTGTGGACATGCTGCTCCTCAGACGGAGATCACAAAGGTAAAAGGGAGGAGAAGTTCTCGGCTTCGGAACTAAATCCCCCCTCCCCCCCCCCCACCCCCAGCTGGGCCCAGGGTGATCAAGGGATGGAAATCCACAGCCAAGTGACACCAGGAAGGAGCACCACTGAGACCAGGGGGCGCCGTAGAAATACTTCAGGTGCTTGAGTATTTTTCATAAATTCGTGTAATTATTTTAATTAAAAATCTTTCAAATATTAATGGGGGAGGGGGATCCAGAGCAGAGTTAATTATAGCAGCTTCACTCACCACTTGCACTTACGACTCCGTCAGCTTTTCCATTAGGAACTGCTGCTTTTCAGGGGAGTTATAATTCAACCAAAGAAATTGGCCACAGGCTGAAGCTTGACATCCAAGTTTGCAGGGTGGGAATTAATTGTTTAATTGATTCGAATATTCAAGGCCTGCGTGGAGCGGGGGTGGGAATCGTGTGTTGTCATTCCAGGGAGGGTCGGCCTACGGACCCCTGCCTTTCTGGAGCCCCCCAGTTATCACTGCCCCTATTAAAACCCCACCAGCCATCGTCACAGTTCAAAAATATGTACCTATGTGTGCTTTGCACCAACAGGTTCTAAGTACCTTACTTAGCTCTTAAATTCATGCCGAAGTTTCCCCGCAAATGAGCTTCATTAATCTGGAAAGGAGAGGTTTTTGCCTGTTCATGTGAATGTGTTTTAAAATAAGCCTTTTCGGTTTGGGTAGCTTCAGTGTACGACCTGAAGTAATCGCAGGCTTACCTTCCCTTGGCTGAAATCTGATCATTAAACCAACTTCACTGTTAGGGAGAATATCTGGCTGGAAAATGCATTTTATCCCCAAAGAATATGCCATATTAGTGAGAAAATTACTCTAAATGGGAACAAAGCTGACAACTGCTGCTTGCGGACTAATGGCCTAGTGTATATATCGTACCCAAAAAGCATGTCATCACCCGGCTGTTGAGCAAATCACTGGCATGAGATTCTGGTCGGCAGAAATGGGACATTACAGATGTCGGAAAGGTTTTAGGGATTTTGGTGGGTTTCTCCCTGCTCCTTGTATTAAAGCCCACGGACTTGGTGTCCACATAACGCGAAATCCAGGGGAGCACCGTGCTGGAGGCGGCTGCCAGCAGGTAGAAATGCATCCTATTCCTGCTTCTCCGGGGGATTAGTCAGGAGCCGGTTAGTGCAAAACCGCATCCTGTGAATGGCCGAGTATTTTCTCACCCACTGCAGAGTTGTTCAACTCAACCTCTTTAGGGACTTGGAGGATGCCCTGGAGCCCCACAGACCACACGAGATGACAGGCCAACGACTCCTTTTCCAAGGGAGAAAAACCACATCACACTAAATGCAGCGGCGGAGGGGAGGGAAGGAAGACTACGACCCCAAGAAGTCTTCAGGATCAAAATGGGAATGCTGTGATAAGGAAAAAATACATGTTTGTTTCCTTTCCAAGCCTGATACTATCTTCCTCATGAGAACGGATCAAATTTAGGGCCATTTTCTGTTCCTATTAAAGGGGAAAGTGGTATCCATTTTAATAAAGTCCAAGAAGACTCATTAATAGAATGCATTTTCCACCTGCCTACAAACAAAATGGAAGTCATGTCGGTGACTCAGAGCGTTCATAGAGAAGGCACCCCCGTGCTCTGTGTCTCTTGAAGGAGGGTCTGCAAAGTGTGTGGATTTCACTCATCAGTGGCATTTCAAAGGAGCAAAGAAAAAAAGAGACAAACCAAGAAACAAGCGCTTCACTAAAGAGAACCACCAGACGGGAGGGGGCGGGGGTGTGGAGGTGTGATAGGTGACGGGGATTAAGAGGTCACTTATCTTGATGAACACCAGTGATGTAAGGAAGTGTTGAATCACTATACTGTATACCTGAAACTAATATTACACTAGATGTTAATATACTGGAATTAAAATTAAAAAAGAAAAGGAAAGGAAAAAGGAAAGGAAAGGAAAGGAAAAAAGAAGAGAAGAGAAAAAAAAGAAAAGAAAAAAGAAAAGGGCGCCTGGGTGGCTCAGTCGCTTAAGCGCCTGCCTTCAGCTCAGGTCATAATCCCAGAGTCCTGGGATCCAGTCCTGCATCGGACTCCCTGCTCAACAGCGAGCCTGCTTCTCCCTCTGCCCCTTCCCCCTGCTCATGACCTCTCTCTCTCTATCTCTTGGATAAATAAATAAAATCTTAAAAAAAAAAAAAAAAGAAGAAAAGAAAAGGGCCCAGAACACAGAAATTTGGATTGGTAATGCCCATGAACCATAGGATAGTTTTCTAGCACCTGAAATACCCACACATTGAACTAAAAAGGAAGATAAGTGACCTGGGGCAAAAGCCGAGGAGCAGAGAATCACCACCCTGCATGTACAGGGAGAGGGGGCACCAGCCACTACCCAAAGTCCTCACTGTGGGCCCTCACCCAGGGACAGCTGGTACCTCCAAGAAAGTACCATTTCTGCTCTTCTTTCCACCGACCTGCAGCTCTGGGCGCCAGAAACAAGCATTTTGCCTGCATCTGCCCTGAGAATATAGATATCCATCAGACTCTTCAAGTTCAAAGCCCCACACCTTTTTCAGTCCTGTAAAGAACACATTCATTCTGTTGGAAGAGCTCAAGTCTCAACATGTCTTAAGAAACCCTTAAATAAGAACGCTGTTTGTGATCATGTGAGATTCAAGCAAACAGAAAGTTGGTGATGAGATAATTACTCCACTCATACTTCTTGAGCTCCGACTATGAGCAAGGCACTGTTCCAGGGACAGCAAAGGCTAAAGAGCATTTAGAAGAGGAAGATTCTACAGAAGATAATTAGTAACGCAAAGCAATATATCATAGGATGTTCAAGCTGGAAGGAAGGTTGGCGGCCATTTGGTCCAATGCGCCCATTTTACAGATGAGGGATTAGAGCCAAAGAACTGAAACGGCTTGCCTGGCTTGTGGCTGAATCAGAGCCACAACTGTTTCATTGATCATATACTTATTATATTATATAAAACCAATATAATGATTACTGTGGGCTATGCATGCACTCAGTTTCCACACAGTCTTTAAAACCCCCCTACAGGGTAGGGAGTATTCTTCTCCCAATTTACAGGTGAGGAAACAGGCTCAGAGGGTTGTCATTTGTCCCAGGTCACACAGTTAGTCACAGAGCCCCCCCCAAATTCCAACCCAGCCCCATCTGAGCTATATTTCTCATCCATTAGGCTCTGCAAAATACAAGCATAAAGTGTCTTCCATGCCCCCCATCTGCTTGGGAAATACCAGTTCATCCTTAGAGACTCACCGAGCTGATCTTGTCTTCAGTGCAGCCTCCCCCCCACCCCAGCCCTTGCACGGATGCTCTCCTCTCTGTGGGCTTCCTCTAGTAGCCTCCATCTCACGATGCTGGATTTGTGTCTCTGTCCGTGCTCCATACCAGGTCCTGCCTCCTATACCCCCAGCCTGCAACACTGGGCTTGGCATACAGCAGGCGCCCAGAAAATATCCGCTGAATGAATTCAGGGAATCCAGCATGCCTGGACCCTATTGCCACTCTGTTCTGGTGGGGCACAGCTGCCTTTGCCTTCAGGTCCAGCCAGATCTCCCACCCATACTGTACTCCAGGCAGGTGCGGGGTTGACACAAACTCCCCAGTTTCCTTCCGCTCGTGGCCTTTCAGAGGACGCAGTTCTTCTGTGTCCTTCCAACACACATACATAGTCACTAGAAGCCAAACCCCCTCCTTCCGGAGGCTCTTCTTGTCCCCCACCTCTCCTCTCCCTGGAGCCCACCCCCTCCTTTCCAGCCTCTCATATATAGCCATGCTGGCCCTCTCTCATCTCTGTTTTCATTCTGAATGGGAAAGAAGGAGAGCCCCAAGAGAGGGAGGAAGCGGCTCTTTGGAGGCCATGGCTGGCACATCTACCATACAACCAGATTTTAACAATATCGGGATGGCCTTCCCCTAGTTCATCACTTGAATACTCTGATGCATCTTGCTCTGACCTCGAGTGGTATTACCAGATATTACCAAATGCCCCTTTCGTTATCTTGACTTCAGTGAGTTCCCAGGAGGTGGGGGGGTTGGGGGGGCAGCGCTTAGCAAGCAGGAAATACCATCCTATCACTTAATGAAACCTAACCAGTAATAAAAGCAATTTAATGCCACAACTTTGATCTGTTGAATGATTTAAAAGGCAAAATTTTAGAAAAAAATATTCTTGACTTTCAAGAAAACCAAATGCTGTTATTCTCGTAGTGATAAATCATCTCCTAAAAACTCCAGCAGATTTAGAGCAAATACCGAAATGCATACTGTCATCAATGTTGGGAAGATTGAAAGCTCCTAAGAATATGAAATCTTAATATCATTGTCTCACCAATTTATTCAAGTATGAAAACATAAGAAAGATATTGACACTCAAACTACCAAAAGTATAATTGATTCCTTTTTTTTTTTTTTTGGTAATTCAGAACCCACTTGCAAAACTTATCATTCCTCTAGTTCTCCACGGCTAACACCATAAAATCCTAGATCTGGAAGTTTTCTAAAAGCTCTTGTTCACTGAATGCCTACATGTGCCACCCTTGGTTTTCTCCATTAAATGAACAGTGTTTGATGTAATCACCCACAGTCCCAAGAGGAAAGGATCATCAGCCTATTTTGTAGACGCAGAGCCTGGGTTCAAGTTAAATAACCTGCCCGGGTGCACACAGCTTGATGGGGTAGTGTCAGGATCCTAATCCAGGTCTGTCTATGCACCTTCCAATCCAGCTCTGTCACCTTAGAATACCCTGGGGTTTGGGGTGAACCATTACCAACCCTGATGTATCCTGGGATATTAATTTTTTTCTATTGCGGCAGGGGGGAGGGTTGTTTTGTTTTAATAAATCTTCATCAGGCGGCTTACCTGTCTCTTTTGCTCACTCCTTGTTCTCACTTCTCCTGTCTGTCTCAGGGTTCCAAAGAAGAATGGTCTGAACTTCCTGGTTTTTGAGACTCTGGGTGAACAGGATAAGGTCACGGCCACCTGCTGGAGACATGAAATATGGTGAAACCAAAGGTTTCAAAGGTAGCTCCATGTACTTAATGGTAACTTCCCAAGATTTCACTCTTCTACCAGATCACTGGGACAAACCCCAACTTCCTGACCTAATAAGCCCACCAAGGACCCACAGCATCAGCAGAAAGGAGAAAGCAAGGAACTGTACAAACATGAGGGAAAAGGGCCAGTCACAGCAGGAATTCAAAAATGCAAGTTGAAAAACTGAAAATAAGATACTTTGCCTATCAGATTTGTTCTTAAAATCTCAAAAATAATAGCACTACACGCTGAAGAGGGTGTGATAAACTCTTATACTTTGCTTGTGGGAACATAAATTAAAACACCTCTTTTAGAAAACAATTGAGGGATGCATATAAGAACCTTAAAAATGCTCACCGCCTGAATTAATTATTCGTTTGGGGTCTCTCACCCAACCAAATAATCTAAAATTTTAAAAATGCTTTGTTTACTACATTGTTTAGTGAAATAGTATTTATAGCAACATATATACACAAAACATCAAATAACCCCAAGCTGTAAGAATAAAGAATGGTCAAGTAATATGTGATACATACACATAAAAAACAGGATAGAGTAAAATACGAGGCAACTATGAAAACTGTTCCTGTAAAATTGTGTGATTCAATTTTTTTAATTACATGAACGTATTACAAATACATGTAAGAAAAAAAGTAAAAAGAAATACATTAAAATCCTAAGAGTGACATTCCCTAAGAAAATGTATTATTTTTATTTCTTATATTCTTTTTTTACCTTTTTACATTTTATTTTTGTAATAAAAAAATAAGCCTTTAATATTATGTTTACACAGCACTTATGACAACATGGCAATAAGTATGTTATTATATTAGTGGGAAAGAAAACAGAAGCATAAAAAGAATATGATTTCAATTTTGGCATTAAAAAAAGAAAGTCATCAAAAAATTACAGTGGGGGGATAATGGGTCATTATACTTTGTCTATTTTTCCATATTTTCAAATTTTTACAAAATAAAAGTTTTCATAATTATTAAAAAATCTTTATCATTTTGAAAAGTGGCTTTATTAATCTTTGTTGGCCATAAAGCAGAAACTAAAACTGCTAGCCAGAGGGGCATCCTTGAGGAGGGATCTGACGTGGTTCCCACTCCCTTTGTTTAAAAACAAAACCAACCGGGTGCCTGGGTGGCTCAGTTGGTGAAGCGTTTGCCTTCAGCTCAGGTCATGATCTCAGGGTCCTGAGATCAAGCCCCACATCAGGCTCCCCACTGCACGCAGAGTCTGCTTGAGATTCTCTCTCTCTCTCTCTCCCTGTGCCCCTCCCACTCATGCTCTCTCTCATAAATAAATAAATAATAAATAAATAAAATCTTTTTTAAAAAGTAAAGAAAAAAAAAATCCCTATTTCTCACTTTAGCAGGAGAATGAATTCTCTCTCTACCCAGCCCCAAATCCATCCTCCTCCCTACCTGGGCCCCTCAGCCAGCAAACTGAATCGCTGAACTCCTGACATGAAGGCCATACTGATTGGAGCTTACATTGAGGAGTTATGCCAAGAGGTCATTATGACATCACCCGGGCCTAACCCTGCCCTAGCTTATTTTGCTTAAAGAAAAATTCTTATGATTGCAGCAGATCAAAGTTCATTTCCGTCTGAATAAAGGCAGTGTTATATACTGAACAATCAAGACTGCGGACACGGGGGCTTACCTCCAGCACCCCCATCACACACACACACAGACACACACACAGTCTGATAAGTGGGAGTCATTATTTGGCCTCTCCAAACTTCCAAATCATCATTTACAGAGGGGCCCCTCCCTCCAGGCACTGGTTTGAGTACTGAAGGCTGTCGGACCATGCAGAGAACTCAGCACGAGGGTGCCCAGCACATGGGCAGCACTCCATAAACACTCCAAATCCCTAGCAAGAGGGAATCCCAGTTCCGGAGAGCTGCCTAAGGGCATCCAAGAGAAGGTGGTCAGCAGCCCCCAGGCTCGTTAGCACACTCTTGAAGGCCTGATTTCTCAGTACCTTAAGTAAGAGGTCAGGATAAACCAGTAGCCAAATAACTTAGCATCCAAACCAGCAATAGTTAGAAGTGTGATACAGCACTATTAATATGAAGGCAGAGACAAGTACAGTAAAATGGGACTATCCCAGGCAGACTGAGACAGTGTGCTCTCCCTGACAAAAATACAGCAGTTCCTGCATGCCCGAGAATGTTCTGGAAACATCGCACATTGTGGTCTTTTAAGTCTCATACTGAGGGGTTAAGAGTTAACCATTTACTACTCCCACTCAGAACAAGAGCCCAGATGACATGAGATAGAGGAGACACAGGGGTTTTGTATGCTGATTGAGGTATAATTTACACATAATAAAAAAAACCCTATATTAAGTATACTGTTGAAAGAATTTTGATAAATGTACATACCCGAATAACCACCATGAAAATCAAAATGTGGAACATTTTCATCACCCCAAAAAGTTTCCTCATGTCACTTTGCTGTTGGTCCCCACGCCAAGTCCCAGCCCCAAGCAAAAACTGCTCCTCTGTATGTCACTATAGATTAGTTCTGCCTACTCCACAAGTTCATATAAATGGAATCACACATCAGGTTCTCTTTCTGGTTTCTTTTGTTCAGCATCATGTACCTGTAGGTCATTTCTTCTTATTGCTAAAAGTACTTCTTCTCATGGATATAGCACAGTTGGTATATCCATTCACCTTTGGTGGATCTTCAAGGCTATTGTGAATAAAGCTTCTATGAATATTCTTGTATGTGTCTTCTTGTATACAAGAAATGTTTTCATTTCTTTTGCATAAATGCCTAGGAGTGGAATTTGGGATCATATGACGAGGTACATTTACCTCGCGAAGAAACTTTCAAGATGTTTTATAAAGTGATCCTTCCATTTTTCACTCCCACCAGGAATGTGTGAGAGTTCCAGTGACTTCCAGATTCTCACCAATACTTAATATTGTCAGTCTTTTTAATTTTAGCCACTCTAGTGAATGAGTAGGGTATCTCATGATTTCAATTCGCATTTTCCTGGTGACTACTGATGTTGAGCTTCTCTCATACACTTATTGACCATTCATATATCTTTTCTCAAATATTTTTTCAAATCTTTTAAGGTGCCCCTGGGTGACTCAGTCAGTTAAGCATCTGACTTTGGCTCAGGTCATGATCCCAGGGTCCTGGGATCGAGCCCCATGTTGGTCTCCCCACTGAGCAGGAAGTCTGCTTGTCCCTCTCCCTCTGCCCTTCCCCCTCAACTCATGCTCATTCTCTCTTTCTCAAATAAATAAAATCTTTAAAAAATTAAGTTCTTTGTCTTCTCATTATTGAACTGTAAGAGTTCTTTACATATTTTAAATACAAGATCTTTTCAAATATATATATATAGCAAATACATTCTGTCTGGGATCCTTCAAAGAACAGAAGTTTTAAATGTTAATGAGGTTCAATTAACCAATTTTTTTATGGTTTGTGTTTTTGTGGCCTAAGTACCTTTGCCTACTCCCAAATCACAAGATCTTCTCATATTTTTTTGTAGACGTTTCAGAGTTTTAACCCTTATATTTTGATCCATGATTCATCTTAATATTTGTTGCGGTATGAGTCAGGACCAAAGTTCATTTTTTTTTCCCCCACAAGGATATCAAGTTTTCCAACCCCATTTGTTGAAAAAGACTATCCTTACCCTACTGAATTATTTTGGCATCTTTGTCAAATATCAGTTGTTCATAGATATGTGGGTGTATTTCTGGACTCTCTATTCTGTTCCACTGATCTATATTTCTATACTTATGCTAATAGTATAGTTACTTGTTTACTATAGGCTTACAGTTAGTCTTAAAAAAAAAAAAAAGCCTGTGAGATTTTTGGCTGTGATTTCACTGAATCAACAGATTTATTTATTTGGGGGAGAACTGACATCATAACAATATTGACTTTTCCTATCCATGAGCATGGTATGTCTCTTCATTTATTTAGTTTCTTTAATTTCTCAGTAACATTCTGAGGTTTTAAGTAAACAATATACTTCATATTTGCCCCTAAATATTTAGTGTTTTTATGCCATGAAAAGGGTATTTTTATTGAATTTTTCCATTGTCCATTGCTAGTGTATAAAAATACTATTGATTTTTTAATAGTGACCTGTGTCTACACTTTACTATGAGTTATAGTAGACTTTTTATCAATTTCTTAATATTTTCTGCATAACAGTCATGTTAATAAAGATGGTTTTACTTCCTCCTTTATGCTCTGATGCTTTTTATTTCTTTTTCTCGTCTTATTGTACTAGCTAAGACCTTCATTACAATGCTGAATAGGAGTGGTGAGAGCAAACATCCTTGTTTTTTCCTAATCTTACAGGAAAAGTAGCCAATCTTTCACCATTATGTATGATATCCAGTGTACGTTTTTCACAGATATCCTTTAACAAATTGCAGACATTTCCTTCTGTCCCTAGTTAGTTTTGAGGTTGTTGTTCTTTTTTTAAAATCATAAATGGGTGTTGACTTTTCAAATATTGTTTCCATATAAGCTGAAATAATCATATGGTTTTTCTACTTTATCCTGCCAAGTGGTGATTTACATTGGTTGGGTTTTATTTTTTTTTCCAAGTTTTATTTAAATTCCAGTTAGTTGACAGATAGTGTAATATTCATTTCAGATGTAGAATTTAGTGATTCATCACTTACATACAACACTGGTGCTCATCACAAGTGCCCTCCTTAATACCCATCACCTATTTAACCCATCTCCCCATCCACCTCCCTTCCAGTAACCATAAGTTTGTTCCCTATAGTTAAGAATCTGTTTTTTGGTTTGTCTCCCCCCTCCACAATGTTCTTTTGTTTTGTTTCTTAAACTCCACATATGAGTGAAATCATATGGTATGTGTCTTTCTCTGACTTTTTTCACTTAGCATTATATTCTCTAGCTCCATCTACATCATTGTAAATGGCA